TATGTCAGGCGAAGGAAATGGCATCAAAGTCTTTCATAAATACATGTATAAAGGGTAGAATTTGATAACTTAAAGGCTTGGTTTCAAAAGGCTTCAGTGTACAATGAAATACCAAGAATCGGAATAAAAGCCAGGACATGTACAGGGTGTTTCACAATATATGTCACACATCTAAAGACAGATAGATAAATGACAACTAAACCTATATATACATTTTATATATCATTTTAATCAGCATAAATTCAAAATAATTTTTTTGGGTCAGAAGTACCCAACATTCTTTACTTTAGTTACTATGGCAAGAAATCCTAAAATGTTATTTTCCAAGTGTTTACCAACATTACATCCTAAATAACTTATGAGACTAACATGACTAATGCTTGGAAATTTCTGACCACTGTTTTGTAAGTTTCACAGGATACTTTAGACTTTTCTTGTTTTATATCTGGCTTTTTAGAACCCTCAAAATACATGTCTTTTTTTCTATCTAAAGTTGCATATAAATAAATGTGTCGTTTCAGAACTACCGGCATGTGTTAATTGGTGCCCACTTCTTTCCCTCTTCCTTTCAGTCAGTCTTGCAAACTTGAACCAGCTCAGAAAATCAACTGGCTTTTAATGCTGAAGTCTTGTATGCAGACAAAACAACTCAAAATTAAGATTTCTAAATACAGTTGATGCACTAACCGGCATTGTTACAATCTATTTTCCTAAACTCAGATTTAACTTTCATGAGTTTTTCTCAATGATTGATTTCATTGTAATATTGTTCTCATCTCTTCTTGATTTTTTTTTTCGGGGGGGGGGGGGGCAGGATTTAGCTGTCTTTCATCTTAGCATTAAAATTTAGTTCAAACTCTCTTATTATTCTTAATATATGAAAACTATACAACAATTTGTGGTCTGGATATTTTTCATCATCACACTCTGTACAATATTCTGGATATTGTTTTTTATAGTTAATTTACAACAAATTTTTGCTGCAAGTTGTATTCCATTTTGAGAAAAGCTGACATTATGAGGTTACTGATTATATCATCAGTTACTTCATGGTATTACCATGAAGTAACTGATGACTATATTAAAATTTCCCCAATACTTTGCAATATCATAATTTTAGATCTATTTGCTTTCTTATAGTGTTTTGGTATTTTTATTATCATGCTTAATATTCAGATTATGCCCCTTTAGATGTGTGACATATATTGTGAAACACCCTGTACATACAGATACAAATAAAATATAGACAGAGGAAATGGCATCAAAGTCTTTAATAAATACGTGTATAAATGGTAGAATTTAAATAACTTTAAGGCTTGGTTTCAAACAGGGTACACTGAACAATGAAATACCAAAAAACGGAATAAAAGCCACGATGGGTAAATACAGAGACAACATGTGTCAAGCAGAGAAAAATGCATCAAAGTCTTTAATGTAAATGAATAGTACACATTTTTATTCATACAGACTGCACGGACCAGACATTGTCTACAAACGTATTAGATTTATGAATGTTGAGATTCTTCTTATTTAAAATATAAGAATTATACTGAGTTGACAAAAGCTTTAAAATGAATCATTGTTAGGTGATCAAACACATTCATTTTATTAACATTAAAAAAAACCTAGAGGTACTGTGAACACTGAGCTAACTAAAGAATACCCCCTCCTGCCATATGATTATAATGGCAAAATCCATGTTTTGCTCTGAGTGACCCAAAATACGGTAAAAGTATTTTAATATTTAGTGCGTATTTGGCGGACATTTAGCGTTGTTCTTGAATTAGCAGAAGTTTCTTTCCGCCTACAAGAATACACAGCAAAATGAAATACATCTACAGTATATGTCAGATCAAAAAGTAATTTAGAAAAAGCACAATGGGATTACGTAATAAATAAAATGTGAAATTACCATTAAATTTCATCCAGTGGTATAGGAAGAGTTGCGGATAAGAAATGGGTACCCTCCATTATTATAGAAAAAATGGCAGTATCCATGTTTTGCTCTGGGAAACTCGAAATATGTGTCCGATCGAAAAGCTAAATAAAAGGTGCCCAATGGCACTATGTAACAAAGATTCTGTGAAAGTTTCATTAGATTTCAACCAGCTGTATACGAGGAGTTGCAGATAAGAGATGGGTACCCCAAAGCGTTACAGACAGACAAACAGACAGACGGACATCCTTTATACCCTCCCACATTTCAAGCGGGGGTATATTAAACAAGCCATCAAAACACGCTTTGATATTCGAAACTTTTATGATCAAGTTGACCCATTCGTTTTGTTTATTAAAATGAAAAAAAGCAAAGCTTGATTTCTAAAATAGGGAACTTATATATATATAATAGCAATTAGTGTAAATTGAATTGAAGATATGTCAAAACGTGCATTATTAATTAATCGAGTAAAATGGAACCAAATTTCTCTTTTTGACCAAAATTCCCTTATTATAACCCCCGCTTGAAAAGCAGGAGGGCATATAGTAATCGGGATGTCCGTCCGCCTGTACGTCCTGTACGTTACGCTTTGGGGTACCCATCTCTTATCTGCAATCCTCTCAATTCACTGAATGAAATTTGATGAGACTTTTACAGAATATTTAATACATATTGCCATTGTGCACCTCCTATTTTACATTTTGATTTGACGGATGCGGGGGTATCATTTAGTGAGCTTATTGCTCACGGTGCCTCTAGTTTTTAAAAAAATAATGAAACAGGCACAACCTTCAAGTTTATACATATTTTAAATAAGCACGGATGATGAATTCTGCGTCTTCAATGTTTCTAACCGACGCGTTCTTTGCTCCAGAGTCAAAAGGAAACTAGAGGTACTGTGAGCAATTGGACCCCCGCCTCCCATATGTATATCATGGCAAAGTCCGTGTTTGCTATGGAAAATCCAAAATATGTGTCAGATCAAAAAGTAAAATAGGAGGTGCAAAATGGCAATATGTAATAAAGATTCTGTGAAAGTTTCATTAAATTTCATGCAGTGGTATGAGAGGAGTTGTGGATAAGAGATGGGTACCCCAAAGCGTAACAGACGGACGGACTGACATCCATTACTATATACCCTCCCGCTTTTCAAGCGGGGGTATAAAAATTTTAATCGTACACAAAATAAGCTTTATATTCCAAAAAAGTTTGACTTAAGAATAGGTAAAATTCATTAAATATATTATTTGAATGCACCCTTTTTTCTGTTTATATAACTTGAGAAAAAATCTATAAACAGATATAAATGTATTTTTAATTATTGGACTAACTAACAGACAAAAGTAATGATCAAACATTAAAATAAGAATTGAGCTTTTTTTGACAATTGATCACAAATACATGTATGAATGATTCACATAAAATGGCAGAGTAAGAAAGACCTTCTCAGGAAACTCACAGCTTTGTTCATTATTTACTTGTAATTTCAGGACTTCAAAATCTTCCTGCTTTGATCGTAGGCCCGTGTATATACTGAGTATATGATTATACGAGGTTGTTTTGTAATATCGGGGACAAATTAAGCGTTTTTCTCGGAATTGAAAATAATGGACGGTCTAAGTTGACATTCTCAGCAAATATTTATTTATCATACTAAGGTGCACCTTAATTGTATTGATAAAACAGACACAAAAATAGAGATTTTATTATTTATCCTTGAATATGCACAGGGTAAACCGAGTTTTTTTTTTTAAAGAATACACATTATTATTTCGAAATAAAAGTATTAAATAGCGGTAAAAAAAAATGAAGTGATTATCCTAGTTTTAGTCTACTAGGTATTATGTCGTCTTTTTGAAAATTTCAAGGCATTTGCTTATAATTTTTGGCAGTTTCTCGAGCATAAGAAATGGGAAAGTGGTAAACATAACACAAGAAAACTAGAGGTTCTGTGAGCAACGAGCAAACTAAATAGTAATCCACCACTCATATGATTATAATGACAAATTCACTGTTTTGCTTGAACTTGTAGACCCGGAATAAGTGTCTGATCAAAACGTAAAATAGGAGGTGCGCAGTGGCATTATGTAATAAAGAATTTGTAAAAGTATAATCAAATTTTATTCAGTGGTATAGGAGGCGTTGCGGATAAGAAATGGGTACCCTTTAATATTATAGAAAGTTTCAATATTTTGCTCTAGAAAACCCAAAATATGTGTCCGATCAAAAAGTAAAGTAGGAGGTGCATAATTGCACTGTATAACATAATTTGTTTATTTATCCATACATGTATATCTATTTGAATTTTATGGAACGCCAAAATTACACATACATGTATTCAAATAATTGAACCTATCTTCAAATAATTGCACCTATCTTCAAATTAGAGGTACTGTGAGCAATGAGGTCACTAAATGATGCTCCCGCCTCCCAAATGAATATAATGGCAGTGTGACCAGGTCCATGTTCTGCTCTGGAAACCCAAAATATGTGTCGGATCAAAAAGTAAAGTAGGAGATGCACATTGGCAATATTTAATAAAAATTCTGTGAAGAGTTTCATTAAATTTCATTCAGTGGTGTGAGCGGATAAGAGATAAGTACCCTAAAGCCTAACAAACAGACGGAAGGACAGACGGACGTACAGACAGACGGACGGACAGACATACCGATTACTATATACCCTCCCGCTTTTCAAGCGGGGGATATAATAATTGTACATATCGTCAATTCATTTGAAGATAGGTACAATTGAATTAAAGATGGGTATAACTGAATTGAAGATAGATGTAAATGATTATACCTAATCTCTAAATAATTATACCTCAGAAAAAATGAATTATACATATCTTTCATGGAATTACTCCTATCTTCAATTCAATTAAAGATAGGTTAAGTTGAATTATACCTATCTCTAATTTATTTGAAGATAGGTAGAATTGATTCAAGATAGGTCCAATTAAGACATATTCACAAAGGATTTGAAGATAGGTACTATTCATTTATACCCAGGTTCAATTCAATTATACCTTGGTTCAATTCGTACGATATTGTTGAAAATAATGAACTCTCCCTTGGAGGCAATATTGAACATAGAGGGAAACACACAGAACCTACAGAGCGACGACAACGAGGATGAAAGTAGAGAGAAAGGTAAATTCAAATTGAGCAAAAAGCATCATATGCTTATTAAAATACACATGTATATCAATAAGTGAGCAAAAAACCTGTACCAGAAATGAGATGAGAAAGTGAGTAGATATAATTGTACCTTTCTTTAAATCAATTATACTAATCTTTAATTTATTGCATTTATATCTATCTTCAAATTAATTGTACTTATCTTTAAATGAATTAAAGATAGGTATAATTGAATTGTACATATCTCTAATTCATTTGAAGATAGGTACAATTCATTTGAAGATAGGTACAATTGGTTTGAAGATAGGTGCAATTATTTGAAGATAGGTACAAATATTTGAATATATACCAATTTGGCGTTCCATATAATTTAGCTATGCATATTAATGAAAAGTTTACTAAAAAGGAGTCAAAATTTCTGAACGCAATGATGATTATTTTTCAATCTCGACTTGTCCATGATTTTACCGGACAATCCTCGTACAGATTCATATTGATTTTTATGCATAGCTACATGAAAAGAATGCCCATGGTGTTCTTAGAATAGAATATTTTTCAAATAGATTTTAAAAAAAAATATTAAAAAAACATGTAGATAAGCTAAGATTTTTTTAAATTTCAAACGAATAGGATTAATTACGTATATTAAATTTTCTGTTAATTTATATTACATATATATGAATTACAATAAGATGCATGGTTTAGCGCATCGGGTTTTGATTTTGTTTAACGGTGTTGCCATTGTTATCAAAAATATGAAGTTTTGTGAAATGCCTAAAAAAAAGATCCTCCTCGGGCAGTTTTAGTCTGATTTCAATATAAATTGGGACACACGTAGACTACACTGAGATATATAATTAAAGGTCATACGAAACAATTCATTACACTTAGATTTTACTTATTAAACATTGTATAAAAGAATGTTAAATTACGTTTGGTAAAAAAATTTGCTTTTGTTTCACAGAAAAATGAAGGCCTAAAATTTGTTACACGCTTATCGTTCTTGATTTTGTGTTTGTATGACGTCACAAAGACCCATTGATGTTAACAACGCATTAGATCTAGTGTAATTTTACTGTATTTTATTAGCTCACCTGAGCCGAAGGCTCAAGTGAGCTTTTCTGATCAAAAGGTCGTTGTCGTGTAAACTTTTCACATTTTCATCATCTTCTCAAGAACCACTGGGCACACAAACTTGGCACAAAGTACTTGGGTAAAGGGAACAAGTTTATTCAAATGAAGGGCCACGCCCTTTTCCAAGGGGAGATAATTATGAATTAGAGAAAAATTAAGGGCATTTTTAAAAAATCTTCTTCACAAGAACCACTGGGCCAGGAAAAATGAAACTCATGTGGAATCATCCTCAGGTAGAGTAGATTCAAAAATGACCCCCGGGGGTAAAAATCAAAGTTTTACATAGGAAGATATAGGAAAAATCTTTAAAAATCTTCTTCTCAAGAACCATTGAAACAGGAAAGATGAAACTCATGTGAAATTATCCTCAGGTAGTGCAGATTCAAGTTTGTTCAAGTCATGACCCCCGGGGGTAGGGCGGGGCCAAAATGGCCGATCAAGGTTTTACATAGGAATATATAGGAAAAATCTTTAAAAATCTTTTTCTCAAGAACCAGAGGAAAGATGAAACTCATGTGAAATTATCCTCAGGTAGTGTAGATTCAAGTTTGTTAAAATCATGACCCCCGGGGGTAGGGCGTGGCCAAAATGGCCGACCAAAGTTTTACATAGAAATATATAGGGAAACCTTTTTAAATCTTCTTTTCAAGTACTTCAAAGCCAGGATTAGTAATATTTGTATGGAATCATCCTCAGGTAATGTAGATTCTAGTTCGTTTAAATTATGATCCCCTTGGGGGTTAAAATTCAAACCCCCCCAACTTAAATTAACTTTCAGTTCTGATCTGATATGTATTTTTTCCTAGCTGATGTGCTCAGGTGAGCGCTGTGGCCCCTGGGCCTCTTGTTGAGTTAATTTTAGTCTTTTTTGTTGATATAAATGTGATTATGTTTTTCGATGAGCTACCTGATTCTAAGGAACAGTTCACTTTATTTGAACTTATCGTTAATTTAGGCACAGCAACTGAAAACGAGAGCTTTTCATAGTAAGATGATCCTGATGAAAACCCCGTTGAAATCAAGATTTTTCACCCCAACCAAGATTACTTATTTCAAATTAACACCTTAGAAACAACAATCTTCTTGTTTTTTATACGTATATGATACATGATGTAACCCCCCCCCCTTTTTCCCTAAATAAACACGGGGATATTGAACTTCATGATAAACGTGGATCGATAAATTATTTAAAAAGTCGGCGTATTTGAATGCACGCTTCTGCATTCTGAAACACGAGAACTAATGAAAATGATATACAGAAATAGGGTCATGACGACATCATCGTAATTTTCTGCCACAAGAAAAGTGATTTTAAAAACTTACCAGCATCACGAGTATGCACATTAATATACATGTACTGTAATGTTACTAGTACGGTGCAGTTCTATACTTCTATAACAGTTTTATTGAGTTACTGCAGTTTGAAAATACTCAGTGTGTGCATAGGATGATCCGTTAAAAAGAAACCCATGCCCCAATGCCCATTGTTTGCGAGACTGAACCTAACACTTTTAAAAATTAATATTTTTACAGTTAGACATTCTTTTTTAAAAGCAGAGTATGATATTTGTTAAAATAAACTGATGCAAATTTAGAAAATTTGATCTGCAAATATACACAGAAACGTCCGTGCGTAGGATTACATAGATAGATTTGCGTTTAAAGTCCGAGGTTGACTTTTTAAGATTAAATACGATATTCAAAAAGACACAGTGTTATGTGTAAATGTACCGACTTTGGTTAAAAAAAGAGTCAATGAGATAGGGAAAGCCAAAGAAAGAGCAAGGAATAACTGAGAGAGGAGAAGACCAGGAAGCAATAGAATCATTTCATTTTCCACAAATAAATGAAATCATTTATCAACATGCAGGTTTAGTTTCACTTTCACACACCGCTGTCAATCGATCGAATCCAGCTTTACTTATATGCGCGTGCTACCGATCGAGTAACTGTATATATATTTATATATAACTTACAGAAGTTCTGCTCTCTTTGGACATCGTCTTTCTCTAATTATATTGATATGTAGAAGGATGACAATAAATAACACGGATAAAACATGCTAAAATCTTGCAAGCATGCAACAGGATGTTAAAAGACAAACACTATCTGGTTTGAAAATCATATATTTATGCAAAGTTTTAGTCAAGACAATGATATTTCTTAAAAATTACGCTGCATAAGACATGATCGGCTATATAACTATTAGTACAGAATGTAGCGAGTGGGTCTTACTGACGTCATAAGCAAAGGGAGATAAGCCGCGCTAGTTGAAGCTCAACTTCGCAGTCAAGTATCTCTGATCAACTCTATTGCCTCCAACTTGCGTAAAAAATCCAAAATGTTATTTCAGGCTGATTAATGTTGTTCAGATATACTTATTTCCGTATACAACCCAAAATGCTCAGGACGTTGTTTCGTATGACCTTTAAGTGCATCTTTTTTTTATTTTGATGACCGTTGTTGCTTACATGTAAAATATTTTTTTGTGAAATACTTTCAAACTACCACTCCTCTTACAGATAGGATCTGATTTCAATATAACTTCGCACACAAATAGACTACACTGAGATACAAAATTAATTTAGTATATCGGTTTTTAATTTTTATGGATGGCCTTGTCATGGTTACTAAAAAATAAAAATAAAATTGGTGAAATTCTTTTAAAAGGCTACTTCTCCAGCAGTTTTAATCAAATGCAAAAAATATTGCCTCAAAGAGAGTAAACCAAGGACCATTATAGTATTTATTGCTGTGATATTTCTTAAAAATTACGCTGCATAAGACATGATCGGCTATATAACTATTAGTACAGAATGTAGCGAGTGGGTCTTACTGACGTCATAAGCAAAGGGAGATAAGCCGCGCTAGTTGAAGCTCAACTTCGCAGTCAAGTATCTCTGATCAACTCTATTGCCTCCAACTTGCGTAAAAAATCCAAAATGTTATTTCAGGCTGATTAATGTTGCTCAGATATACTTATTTCCGTATACAACCCAAAATGCTCAGGACGTTGTTTCGTATGACCTTTAAGTGCATTTTTTTTTTTTATTTTGATGACCGTTGTTGCTTACATGTAAAATATTTTTTGTGAAATACTTTCAAACTACTACTCCTCTTACAGATAGGATCTGATTTCAATATAACTTCGCACACAAATAGACTACACTGAGATACAAAATTAATTTAGTATATCGGTTTTTAATTTTTATGGATGGCCTTGTCATGGTTACTAAAAAATAAAAATAAAATTGGTGAAATTCTTTTAAAAGGCTACTTCTCCAGCAGTTTTAATCAAATGCAAAAAATATTGCCTCAAAGAGAGTAAACCAAGGACCATTATAGTATTTATTGCTGTGATATTTCTTAAAAATTACGCTGCATAAGACATGATCGGCTATATAACTATTAGTACAGAATGTAGCGAGTGGGTCTTACTGACGTCATAAGCAAAGGGAGATAAGCCGCGCTAGTTGAAGCTCAACTTCGCAGTAAAAATCTCTGATCAACTCTATTGCCTCCAACTTGCGTAAAAAATCCAAAATGTTATTTCAGGCTGATTAATGTTGCTCAGATATACTTATTTCCGTATACAACCCAAAATGCTCAGGACGTTGTTTCGTATGACCTTTAAGTGCATCTTTTTTTTTTTTTATTTTGATGACCGTTGTTGCTTACATGTAAAATATTTTTTTGTGAAATACTTTCAAACTACCACTCCTCTTACAGATAGGATCTGATTTCAATATAACTTCGCACACAAATAGACTACACTGAGATACAAAATTAATTTAGTATATCGGTTTTTAATTTTTATGGATGGCCTTGTCATGGTTACTAAAAAATAAAAATAAAATTGGTGAAATTCTTCTAAAAGGCTACTTCTCCAGCAGTTTAATTAAATTGCAAAAAATATTGCCTCAAAGAGAGTAAACCAAGGACCATTATAGTATTTATTGCTGTTACATAGTTTGAAGTGCAAGTGCTGTCATGTTTCTTTCTGTTGTTATAAATGCAAACTAGAAGGAGTCGCCCGCGTGGTGCAGTGTGCTCTAAAGTCGCAAAATAAAGAGTCAATCCTTACGTCGCGGGTTCGAATCCCACAGCGGGACGTGGAAGCAGGTCCTTCGGATGAGACCGTATAAACCGAGGTCCCGTGTCACAGTAGGTGCTGGCACGAAAAAGATTCATCACTGCTCAATGGCCCTGAATGCCGAGCATAGGACAAAATTTCTAGCTACCCCTCGGCAACTGGTGGTGTCTCCATATGAGTGAAAAATTCTCCAGTGGGACGTTAAACAATATGCAATCAATTAAAGTAGCTAGAAAAGCTACATTTTCATCAAGGACCTCTGGTTCTTTCTTTGGACAATATTTTTATCTAATATGAAAATAAAAAGAGAAGAAAATAAAAGCTAAATATTGAAATGAAAACTTGTAATCGGAAACTAGATCAAACAAAAATAATATATCATTTAAATTATTTCACAGCAGTTTAGAAAATTGAATGTGCATGCAATATTGGCCAAGATTTTGTTTGTGGTCAACTTTAACCTTCGCCATAACTTTGAACCATGAGAGATACAGACCTCATTTTTGGTATGCATACTCCAGTAATAAATCTCTTTCAAATGACACCAATGTTTTTGACTTTCGACCTTGACTGTGACCTTTATGCTAAAAATAGCTTTTTCAAACTGAGCCAAAGAAGATAGAGTCTTCATATTTAGCATGCCTACTCCACTAACTAAATTCTTTCAAATGACACCAAAGTCCATTAACTTGTGACCTTGACTGTGACCTATATGCTAAAAAAGCTCCTTCGATCTTTGTTGCCGTCGGGCGCATAGTTTTTCACGAACACATCTTGTTAATTCTTATAACAAATATGATTAATAATATTTATTATTCATCATATACAGTATATGTAATATATTTATATACCGGTATATAATTTATACAGATATTATATGTTATAATATCTAAAAAAAAAATTTATGTCGAAAGAAGTAAAAAAAAAATCCTGTCTGAGTGTATTTATCTTAGATTCTGATTACAAAAAATTCTTTCATTTTTAGATCAAATGAAAATGATACATCATTTTTTGTACTGTATAACAATTTAGAAAATTAAATGTGATTGCAATATTGGCTAAGAATTCATCTGTAAGAGATTGGTCAATCGAGACTATGCGCGGAAATTGCAGATACCGGTAAATAGAAAGACATGTTTTTCATCAATTTGTTGTTTGCCAAACCTAGCCCTTACTCAGGATTTAAAAATATGGCGATGATTTGCTATTTAAAATTTCTAACATGTGGACCAATGTAACCGCCCTCTGCGAAAAGAGATCAAACGCGGAGGGCGTTTCAGTAGAGATACTTGTTAGATTTCATATAAAGGTATGACAATTATCAATCTTCCCTAAAAGCTTTACCTCCAGGGATACGATGAAGCCACAACTGGAAATCGAAATCATTTAAAGAGGAATCAAAATTAACAAATGACTTTTAAAGAAGTTTTTTTTGTGTTCTAAAATTTAAGGGTAATTGCACTACAACCAAAAAGTGAAAGAGATAAATATTGTAAAAACGGAAGCAATTAAAAATGTTGAGGATAAACAAATGTTTTGTTTTCGTTTTGTTTTGGATTGTAAAAGGGACAGGCAAGTATAAATTTTTTCACTGTACATTATATGCTATGCGAATTTTAGTTCTCAATTTGATTAAGATTTTAGACTTATTAGGACTTTCCCGACTGAAGAGTCCAAGAAAAGTACATTAAATACTGCTAAAGATGAGAGTTAATTTCAGATCCATAGCAACAGTTTAAAAAAAAAAAAAGAGCCCCCCTCCAATAAAAAACCTATTTTGGGTGGTGAATGAGTGGGAATGAATTGAATCTTTCTTTTTTATTCTTGGTACGTTTTTAAATGCTGGAATTTGCCAGTGCTTAACTTTACAACATCAAAAAATTGAGGAGGGGCTACCAGCATCTGATATATTTAAAGCTACAGCAGATAGAATATTAAATACTACACGCCTGTTTTCTACGGGACTGAATCTCTATTTATGAAAAGGGAAAGAAAATGTTTCCTTGAATATATAATTTAAAGGTCCTTTCTTATTCTATTAATTTTTCAGACATAAATTCACAAATTTAAAAAGAAATACTAGTACTGTTCCATCACATCTCCTAACTTCAAGTATATTTAAACCAAAGTTACTGGAAATAGCTAGGATCACCCTGAAATAAGCAGAGAAATAAAGGGTTTATTTTTCCGATTTCCACTTAATAATATATATAAAATAGAATAAATTCGGGGTTGGAATATATTGAAAACTTTATCAAAGTATTATTAATATACCTTTGATAAATGTGTTGACTAAGAAAAGATAAATGTGCTGTTTTTATGCGTAATTTATAATTTTCAATTGACATAAGACAGAAAATGAAACAAGTCAAAACAAAATTAATCTAGAATCATAAACAGTTTACCAAACCTAAATGATTAAAAAATAATCAAACAATTCTGGTAAAATTTGAAGAATTTACATAATATTGCTTAAATTATAATTCTATTCAATTATATCCTATTTTTTTTTAGTTCATGTACATGTAACATACTATTTTTCACAATATTACACGTTTTCCTTAGGAATAATCATATGCCACGAAAAAAGTTTTTAAAATGCATTTCTAATATTTATAAGAATGCAAATAACTCGTTGATGAAATTTTTATTAAAAACTATTTAAAAAAGAACCAACAAAACATTTACGTGTACATATATATGTATATACTGAAAGGAAAAAGAAACCTAGGATAACATAATATGAGAATTTTTTTTTCATGACCAAGAATGACGAAAATTGGACAAATGAGAATCTTGGTTACTATGCACTAAAATCAAGTTCAGAATTACTCAACCGAGAAATGTATGACGTCACGTCGAAAAAGTGCTAAAAAGCCTAAAACACAAGCAACTTGATAACGATAAGTTTGTCAACGATCTTCTTGTACCATTTGATGCACTTGAAGTATACAAATTGAATTTCCGTATTTGTAGACGGAATGCATTTCTTGCAATTTTGTAACATTTGACGGAAGTTCCATGTGGTCTGGCTTTTACGGTGCATAAATTTGGACATAGGCAACAACGGCTTGCTGTGTAGTCGCTAGTAAATTTCCTTTCATGGTCCGTCTTAACCGTCGTCAGAGAGAAGACATTGAAGATAATGAGAATGTTCAATGTTCACTTTGGGGGGGGGGGGGCATCGTCATATCACTTTCAATAACTTAACGAATTATTATGTGAAGTCAGGTAAAATATTTGGTTACATGTTTATTAAAGATGATTTTAAAAGTTTCATAGGAATAATAGAAAATACACGCGCAGTAAAAAACATAAAAATATCACCTCAAAAGTTTACCCTTCGTTTTTTCCTTTTCAGTATATATATATATAAAGGTAGACACACAGAGAAGAGACTCTTCGTATTAACTACTACTAATTCAGTAAAATGAGTTTAAAGCAATTTACGATTTATTTGAGATTTTGACTTTTTTTCAGATTGTCAGTGCATCGCTGGTAGTAATATCGGAAAAAATCCAACCTTAGACAAAGAGCATACGGGCAATGGTAAGTATATAACGCAATACTCGATATACAGACAATTTTTATATTAACATGACGGCCAAAGTTAATCACAAATCAATTTTATTGACACCCTAATGCGACTTCTCATTCGCCACATGTTGATAAAAACTACCATTACTAAAGTTTTGATAAAAAATCAATAAAATATACAAAAAATAATCTGCATTTTAAAGAATTCCATTTTAGAAAAAATCGCATACACGTATCTTACTTTTATTTCTTTTACTAGATACAATTTTCATTAGTAAGTTACACAGAGTAAAACAAAAACCATTTTTTTCTTAGCGAGAACTTTTATACTAAATTCTTTGGATAATGACTACCGAATAGACTGCTGTGGTTTCCTTTCCTCGTGGACATTTTACGTTGGAACAACCACAGGAACATTGTATGCCCAAGTATGGCGACCAGAAGGAACCGACTGGAAACTGATTGGACAAAACACAATTACAGTTCTAGGTAGCACGGTAGTTCAGTGTATTTTTAAACTATTTTGAAATATAATATCTGCTTTTATTATTAATTGAAGGCTAAATAAAAATTGTTTTTAACATTGTTTTAATTTTAGAAATAGAATTATATTTATGTTTCCAATAGCTATGTAGCCTCACCCCTTCCAACCCAGGTTATGTTTGGTTCAAGTTCGCCATCACTCATGTTCTAAATATACGTGTGCATGTATAATACTTACGTTTTGTTTTCACTCGTATTTTTTCCTTTCCTTTCTTATTTTGTAGATTCAGATAAAAACGCATTAAAAACTGAAGCTATTGATTCATCGTCGCAAATACCAGTACTTTCTAGGGATTTTATAGGATTGTAAGTAAACAGCTGGCAATTTTACTATTACTGTAATAATTAATAAACAATGACTTGTAAATCTATTTGACTTACTTATTTTTCTAAATTAAGTAAATCTTCAAACGGAACAATCCCCATGTTTCGTAAGACTAACATGGGAAATAGCGGCAATGAAGACGTACTGTATACCGACTCTGAAGCATACATAGTCAATAGTGTTGTAACGGGTGCAACCTTTACTACGTATACAGAAAAGAACATTGAGTTTAGCATTCTGGCGGATTTGGTACCCGGTACGTAATCCATTTATTGGTTCCGCTGTCCAACTCAAATCAAAAACCTTTTGTAAGCAGTAAATGAAGAATACATTGCATTTATCAATAAAAACAAAAAGAAATACTGAATTTAAAAAACAGCATACAGGGCGATGTTGTAAATTTAGCTTGTTTTTAATTTAATTTTTTAAAATCAATTTTCATATAACAGGTGAGATAAAAAAACCAACAGCTTAAGTTGAATTCCCCTTTAAAATCTAGCTATACTTGTAATCAAATGTTGAGTTTCTAGGTGAATGTTAGTCATTTACTAAGAATGCAAAATACGGATGTAAGCAAATATTTATTACGGACTTTTGAAGGAAAGCCGCCTAGTTTCGGGGCATCGCCAACGTCTTCGTCCGTTACCGACGACACACCTGTTGGAACAGTACTTGCCACACTAACGGCTACAGACGCTGATGCCTTAGACACCCTTAACTTAACTTGGACTGGCACGACTCCACCTGCCAACGCCGGCGTGTTCAGTTACAATGAGAATACGGGTAAACATACAATATTAGGATCATTTACTTATTTTCCCGTTTTTTGATAAATTATCCTGGATTTCCATAACATTTTAAAGATTTTATTATGACTTAAAGGTGACTTGACTTGATTTCCATAACATTGTAAAGATTTTATTATGACTTAAAGGTGACTTGACGACGACTGGTCAGTTGCCAATAGGAGACACAGACCTTACATTTTCTGCAACAGATCTGTGCGGGAATACGGCCACGCATGCCTTCAAACTAACGGTTACAAATTATGTACGTTCAACATTTTTTGCGTTATTTAATTAACATTAAAATTTCATACAATTAAATAAGTTTTGTATTTCATATCAATTTTCTTTCAGCCACCGGTGTTTCAGAATCTCCCAGACACTACAACTATAAGTGAAGACATTGATGTGGAGACCCAGTTGAAGATCCTTACAGTTACCGATGCCTCATTGGCTGACACGATCACGTGTGCAATTAACAATATCAATCCGCCATTAGGAGATTTGTACCTGCGATATGCTCCCGGAACCTCTAGTAAAAATCTAAAATATTAACGACTAAACACTAATTTGTTGTTACAAAAATATATGTATATACTATCTAGATTTAAAAATATTAAAATGTTTTCTCAAGATTAATTCATCGATATGGATATTTTCAGTACATATATACATGATATAAATGTTTAATAAATATCCTCCAAGAAATAGTTTTCCTGCTTTTTTCCTTGCTTTAAACAGATTATGCTGTGTATTTGAGAGCAAATGCTGCCCTTGATTACGATACAACTCGTCAATACGACATCGGAATCGACTGTAATGACACTAAAATCACAGTCTCGGAAACGTTTACCGTATTCATCACTAGGAACCAGCAACCAACTATAACGAACCTTCCCACTGGTACGTAGAGCCATATAGTATTAAATTACAATAGATTATAGTAAACCTCCCGGGCTAATTGATGGCTAATCTACTTTGGCTGATAGCGGTTGTCAATTTACGCCATTTATATGCGTGTAATGTGTACAACGTTTTCAGGGAAAACTCAATGACAAGTTACACCTAAAAACTTAAAGTGTACTAAATGTACAGTGCCATTGCAAAATTCCATGTAGATTTTACACAAACTTTTGAATGGCGTTATCAACCCAATTATACCTTAACAACTTTTTTCACTTCTGTAGTTTGATATTACTGGACTGACCCAATTATAAAGCCGTTAACCTTTTACATTGTTGTGAACAAATCTCAAATAAGATGTATTTTAAAGTAAAGAACAATAATAATTCCATCTTAACATTAGTAGTTTTTTATTAAACGAAAGTAATGAAATTCCTAATAAAGAAATGTTAAAATATGGTCTCTACGTAAATGTAGGCCTATATATATACTAAGCATCTATATCCAATATACTAATTAAGTATTACAAGATGTTAAGAGTAAACATCCAAAAAATAGCATGCTGAGTATTCGTTTAATTACTCAAAAATCTTGACAGTATTTCCCCAAATCTATGTGCATTCCAAGAGGCATCTTGTAGGGGCAACACAAGGAAACGCTGGTTCTGTTTTGATACTTGATGCAAATTTTAGATGTAGAGTGTAAAAAACTTTTCCTGACAATTTACACACATAACGTTGGTGTAAAGAGTACATGGAATTTCGAATGACACTGTACATTTTCTGTTTTAGGTGTATCTTGTCATTGAGTTTTCACTGAAAACGCTGTAACGTTGCACACATAACATAAGTGTAAATTGATGGCCGCTATAGACCATCGTACTTATCAACTATAACGAACAGACTTACTGGTAATACATACCTATTGTAACAACTTAGTGATTAAAATTCGAATAGAATTGAAGAAAGGGAAATACGAAAAATGATATTTGAAAAATTATTCGAAAACGATTTTTTATTTTCCTAATTCGAAAAAAATGAAACTCATTCAGAAAATTTAACTTTGTCTTTTACAGGGTCAAATTCGATTGAAATTCCTGGATCCACAACAGCTATTGGTACTAATATATTCACAGTGACCTCGACTGATCCGGAGAATGACCAGCTTTATTATAACATGACCTGTACTCCAGCATGCCCATTTAAAGTATTAGACTGTATGTAGTCCACGTGCACTAGCATGTCACTTTCATCGCAGTGTATTACAGTTTTAAGAATATGTTATGAAAAAAGCGTAAATATATATGTAGCAAAACAAGAGTACAAACAGTATTCATATAAATAGATAAATACACATAGATTCTTAGGACCAATGAGAACAATATCATTGTAAAATGTAGTTATTTTTATTTTTTTATTGGAGATGCTTTTTATTTTTAGCTGGAACTATTCTTGTGGCGAGCAGCTTGGCCACTCTGACAGAGACTGCGTACGATTTGTTTATCTATGTATACGACGGCAATACCTTGGTTGGACCAAGAAGTCTTACAGTCAAAATATCAGGTGTGTTCGAATTTTCTAAAACATTTGGTCAACTTCCTATTCATTTGATTCTAATGAGGGTTAACATAATTTTTGTTCTGATTTCAATTGTTATGGACATGTTCCAATGCTCAAAGATATTTTTTCATTCCAGATGTCAATACAGCACCAAATATCACCAATCTACCCTCTAGTATAGTAGTAGCAGAAAACACAGCCCAGTCGACCACACTCTATACGTTAGAAAAATCTGACGTCAACAGTCTTGACAGTCACACATGGACGTATTCGATTAGCTCTAATGGATCTACCTATTTTATCGTAGATAGTTGTATGTTTGTCACTTTTCAAATATGCTTACGAATATCTAATATCATTTCAGTTTTTCTCTGAATAAGAAAAAATTTTTTGCTCTTACTTAAATATTAAAATACAAAAATAGCATCGAAATTCATGGGTTGAATGTCATAATATGCAATGATTCTTTTCAACAAAGCAAGGTACTGATATATCCTTTAAAAACAAATTTAAACATGTTACAAAGTCAAAAGAAATATAATCTTCTTTGATTAAAAATATCACTGTTTGGTAGAGAGGTTATCTTAAAGTATACTTCCACTCCCTAAACCTACCCCCCCCCCCGTTTTCTAACAAAATATAATTCAATACAATTAGTTTAATGAATACCTCAATGTATTTTCTTTAGCGGGCCTTGTGAAGACTACTTCAACCATCATCAATTACGAAACCATAACCCCAAAGACATTTTACTTAACGGCTTATGTTTCCGATGGGAAAGCAGTTGCAAGTGGTACGCTTACAATTGTCATTTCCAATCTGAACGAGGCTCCATATTTCTCAAGGTCTACATACTCCGTAACAGGAAACGAGGGAGACGTAAGTAGGTTGGCAAAAGGATATTTTAGCGGACTAAAATGAGTATTTGTTATTCATGCAAAATGATGTTGAAGAAATTAGAAGACCACTCTCTTATGAACACAAGCTTAAAAGAACCTCCTGTAGAAGTAATATTATTTTTTGCTTCCAAGTTCTACTGAACAAAGAATTATTGACCAGATGTAAAGAAATAAAAAAAGAAAAGAAAAGATATTTGGCTTTCTATATAAGTTGCTAGAACTCTTTAAAAGTGGCATAGATATAAATTAAACAATTTACAGGCAGGTGATTCAATCGGAACACCAGCATTCGCAGTAACAGATCCAGAGGGTGATACTGTTACATATACACAAGACTGTCCACAATTTACCATGAATCCCTCATCAGGGGCGTTAACTTTTACCTCTCTGTACGACATAGACTCTGGACTTCCTGCTACTGTGACGTGCACCGTCACTGCTTCCGACGGAAGTCTCACCGACACTGCTACTCTCATAGTGAATATCAACAACATCAACGACAACGACCCAACATTCGCTAGCAGCGCCTACTCCTTCTTTGTTTCACCAACCTCCAGTGTTGGAACTGTTATTGCTGCCCTACCAGCAACAGATGGAGATATTGGGAGCTTTGGTATAATATAAAAGGATTTAGATATTCACTCGAACATAGGGCAGGTCTAGTGCTACTTATTATCCCCTCGCTACGGATTTGGAGGGGATATATCAATGTGTTTGTATATGCGTTAGTTTGTCTATATTCAAAACAGAAATGACGTAATTATCCTCGGGATCAATGTCAAAAGCTGTCTTGAATTAACAGATATGCTCTTTACTAGGGATGCTTTGCTTTGCAGCGCCATTTTTTGCTACAGTATATCAAGTCTAATGTCCAAACTTTTTGGACCAGGTTTTAATTTATCCAATCCAAAAACTGCTGTGAACTTTTCTGATAAAGATTGTCTAGCGTCTGCCACTTGTTCTGTTGTCTGCAGACCAAGTCAATTTAAGGCAAATCTGCCAAAGAATTCTTAGGGTAAAAGCCATGTAAGACTTTTATTGGGGGGAAAAGTGAATGTGTTTTGGGATTGTTTTTTCTTAATTTTGCCAAGAACCATTAGTTAAAACTTACATAAAAAATGTATCGTAAATTCAAGCACAGTAAGGGGGTTAAAATTTATATAAAGAAAAATATGGAGATAACGAACAGTACTCAATCTCAAAGTCCATAAAACAATACAAAATAGGAGCAGAGCAAACACGGACCTCCGAAACAGAATGGGATCATATGCCATAGGAGTGAGCAACCGGTAACACCCGCCGTTGCTTCCTTGTCATGATCTAAGTGGAAAAATCCGTCGTCAATTCAGTGTATAAATAATAGACTAACAATTATTATGAAAAACGTCAGTCAGCATTGACTCAATGATAAATTGTATTTGGCTATTTGCTGACAAGGGCATTGTATCGACCATAGAATTTAAAAACTGATGACTTTGAAAATTTTATTCTTGTATCAACTTCAAGCAATAATTTACCTTGTGTTAGAAATTGTAAAATAAGAGTTTATTCAAACATTGTTCATCGGTTTTAGATGAATTATAATAACCATGCTAAAACCTTAAACCTAAAAAAGGTTTACATAAAAACGACAGATAGTGGATTCAAGTTTTAACAAAGCATGACCTCAGTAAATAGGTTTGGGCAAAAATCGGAAAGAAATATTTGTACGTAATTTTATAGGATTAATATTCAAAGAAAATTAAATTGCTTAAACCTATGAAGTCATCATCGCGTCCTTCCCAATAAACTACATGTATCAGATAATATTGTCAAAATTTAAATAATCACAAGTAGACTTCACTCATCAACATGTTTCAGGGAGGGGACTGGAGAATCGAGCGAGCTTTGTGGTTCATGAGTCTCTTAGAGACACATATTTCCATGCCGATATTTAGGCTTTTTGAAAAAATATTTCCATTTCTAATTTTTTTCTCTGCGATAACTCTTTGAAAGTTGTCGGAGTTTATGATAATTCTGCCGGAATGTAAATTAGGCAGGTCGTTAGGTCAGGAGCTTAAAATGCATGCAAAATCTGTCTCTGTGTCTGACGCTAAGGAGGCAAAATGTGCATGTAAATTGTGCGGCGGTAATTTTCAATAGACTATTGAAATTGGTTGGAAGTCCTCATGTAATTTAAATGTCTACATTTTTAAAGTCTAAATCTAATTTTATTTCACAATGAAATGAAAATATAAGGAATCACTGTCAGTTAGGAGAGGATGCCAGGGACATCAACTGGGAAACATGATAATTTTAGAATAATAAAATTATCCCATTTTCACTAATTTAAATGGCAATAACACAGTGATTCCTTAAATATTTTCATTTCATTTTTCTCTCTGTGTTAACTCTTTGAAAGTTACGGAGTTAATTTTTTGATAATTTTACCGGAATGTAAATTAGGCAGGTCAAAATCAGGAGCTAAGGAGGCTAATATGCTTGCAAATCTCGTCGCATGAGTCTGACGCTAAGGAGGCCAAATATGCATGAAAATTTCGTTGTGTTTGACGTCATATATGAAATTGGGATGGGCTCGTGTAATTTAATTCTATGTCTGCATTTTTAAAGTCTAAATCTACAATTTTATTTCACAATGAAATGGAAATATAAGAAATCACTGATTCCTTAAATGGTAGATGAAATGCAAACAATTTGAAAAAATAGTGAACCTTGAATTTGTGAATTTGAAAATCATAATCTTCTGTATTACTGAAATAGAAGAATGCAATGGTAGTGATAATGTAAATGATTATTTCTAGGAGAGATTACATACACTATAGACCAAACTTCAACTGGAGGTACATATTTTGGAATGAAATCTAACGGAGAGCTATTTGTTGCATCAGATTTATCTCCCTTTGCGGCGGGAGATACAAAGGCTATAATCATAACAGCCACAGACGATGGCGGGAAAACAGATACGTTGACTGTTACCATAGTGATTCCTGGCATTACCACGGTAGAGGTCTCTAATACCACCGATAGGTACATGACGTTTTTCGAGGACACACGTAATGTGGCCTGGTTCGTTGTTGCCATGGCTGTTGTAGCAGGGTTGTTAACTCTGATCATGACATTTATCGTTCGGTATGGAGATTTCTCCTGGATACCAAGGTCATGTGAAAAATTGGCTAAGAAATGCAAAAGGAAGAGGCGAATTAAAATGAAGTAGGTTTTGTTTCAATTGAATACAACCTTAACACAGCTCAATTTATATTTTTCGATATACAAATACAAGTGTAAATTCAAAGGTATGAATTCATGTGCTGTATCTTTTTTTTTCAGAAGGGAACCTACTAAAATGTCTTATGTCGAGCCATCAAGTAAGTACTTTTGACATTTAAATATTTAAATTCACATTTTTATTTCAAAAAAATTATTTTTATTCTTAAATTTTTCAGGATTTCGAACACCAACTTCTTTTACAACCTGGGATGCTTGGAAAATGAACGATCATACGTTTACTTAATCCACTGTACAGCCAATCAACAGAATTTAACAGTATCATTTTTTCAAATCACTTCAGTCCTGTATTCTAACAATTCATATCTGTTGATGTTGATGTACATATTTAGTAGTGTTACATGTTACATAAGTGCAGTACTGTATCTCATTTACAAATTGTTTGCATATTGTTTTGTAGCTTCGTGTTGATTTTTTGTCCTAAATAAGAAGTGATTTAAAACAAAGATTTTATTATATATGTAATTTTTAAATGTCCAACACTTTTTTCACATTGTCGGAATAAAAACATACAACAATTTTTCTATTATTGGTTAAACGGAATGTTAAAAATTTATTGGTACTAGTATATGATTTTATGTACATAATGAAATTGACATATAGAAATTGACTGTCTAACAGGTATTTATACATCAACTATTTTGGTGGAGGGACATTTTCCTTAAATGATCCCACGAGATTTCCAGCTGGTCTGTAACTCGCCACAACAATGACTTTTCCTCCCGAAGTTTTGGCTTTTCCAACCCCTATTTCTTTACTTCCTTTCCATATCATTTGTGTAAAATGACCTAAATTGAAGCAAATTGTTTGACAATTTAAATAACAAGTAAATATATAACATATATGTAAACCAAGTGCTCACACAATGACATTGCCTTCAAAATTTATGCAATGGGAAGAATTTTTGTTAGCCTTACCTGACCCGAGGGATCTTGGTTCATTGTTGAAGTCATGTTTACTTATTTCGCTGTACCACTGGTCACAAGCTTCTTTTCCTTAAACATAAAATCGAAGCTTTTATGAACTTTCTTGATTTTATCTAAATCAAGGATTAAAGCAATTTAACGTGTTTTTTGTAATAACGTCAACAATTTATTTTACAAAAAATTGTAAATTAAATTTTGGTATTTAAGAATCTTACTTTAATCGTATTAGGGTGATTGTATTACATCAATGCATCTATTTTTCTGTACCTGAGTAATCTCCCCCTGAGGAGGACCATTTACAAGCGATATTTTCCCCCAGCCGTTCTCCTTTGTGCATGCAGTCGCTATGTTGAAAGGAATTGGTGGCGGCTAAATGTTCCGCCCACTTCTGAGCAAATGCACTAAGATCCTTAAGACAAAATAAATTGGAAACACTTTGAAAGTGGGCGTAATATCTTTGATTTTTAGACGAATTTCATATCTTTTATATCTTTTATGTGTGTCATGTAATGTTCAAGGGTTTCAAATCATATATCATGCTTTACAATTAGTTGCAACCAATGAACAATGATGTATATTAAATTCAACTTTTAGCTAAAGTATTGAGACAATACAGAATATAAAATTCCCTGAAAGAGAAAAAAATTTGAAATGTCGAACACTTGCACCAAACTTTAAAGCTACCTTCAAAATTATCTTATTATTATTTTAGAGTAAAAATCCTAAAAGATTTGCCTATGATTATCTTCCCTCTGAGTTTGGTACAAGTGTCACTTGATTTCTTTTCGCACACAATTAACTTACCTTTGCATGAGTGAGACTTGAAACTCCATGTTTCTTTCTGTACTTGTTATGAACCTTGACACATTCATCAATAAACTCTTTAATAGACTGTGGTTTCTTGGCCCTCTCCTGCGATGACCCTGAACTGGAACTGGACGAATCTCTCTTCTTATCCTTGCCTTTGAAAAACTGTGAACAACAGCAACCCATTTTGAAATTTTTTAACAAACCTTAATTTTGTTTAACATCAAATCACGACTTTCAGGAGATGCCAATTTTTTCTCTGATCCTTGTGAAATGGTACACCAAATAGACGATGTGAAACGAGCTGTATGATATCAGAAGTAATCACGTGGAAAGATTTTTTATCAACAGCTTTCACTATAAAGTGCAGCCATAGCACACAGCCTTGATTTGACGAAATTGTCAATAAAAATATGTTCATGTAATACACAGCGGGTTATGTATATTACATACGCGACGCGACAGAATGATATAAATACCTCTTAGTGGTAATTGTCTTAGTGTTCACAATTCATCACATTAACAAAGAAAAAGTCGGATTTTTTTTTAAAAAAGGCGATGACTAGTATAAATATACGCCGACTTAAGCTAGAGATCTATGGGTTGTAAATTTATTTTGATCACCCGCAAGATTAAAGAGGTTATCTGTAATCTTTAAGGCTGTAAATGAAGTGAAAACTTTCAACACTTGTTTCATCTGTCATCAAACAGACAAAATCTACCAGGCTCCTGTTTATATGAGTCATGTTTCTATAGAATAAATATCAAGATGAGAAGGTGGCATTATATACATCTGTTCCCTGTTATCTATCCTACACATATTAATAACCTTTCACATGAAAATTTATTGCTAATAAACAATGAATGGTTTGCTGCTTTGTTTTCCTACAAATTAAGTATTTAAAGATTAAAGAATGAATCCGACATCAATTCAGGAGAATTTACTTAAATTAAACATAGTAACCTTGTGTGATAGTTCTCCTTGATGAAGTTTTTGTTTTAAATAAAGTTGGAAATAAATAAGAAAAGTTAGATATACACTTGTTGCATTAATAAGAAAAAAATCTACACTTAAAACACGAATGGGTGATTCCACAAATTTGAGACAATTTTCATAAGTGAAGAAGTTAATATTGCTCTTTCTTCTTTCTTTGTCCAACATGGTTCAATGAGCTTTGTAATACATATGCTCTTTAATTTCAACGATAGTCACAAGTCAAAGTAAACAGATTTTCTTAAATTTAAGAAGTAAAATCAATTTTTTTATGCTTTGGTCATGACCGCAACGATATAAAAACATGCAATTTCTATTTCTCTATATATTGAAAAGAAATATTTTTTTAACCAATGAAAAGAAAAGAAAATTAATATTCTGTAATATAAAAGAAGTTGTAGAATTTTGGAATACGTTTCTATTCTGTGGAGGGCCAAATAAATCGCCAGATGTAAAAATATGCTATTTATGTAATTACAAAATCAATTTTTGTTGTTGTAAAAAACAAATATTAATACGTTTTAGGAAGTAACAGGCATAAAATTAAGTAAATTATATCACTAAGGCTTATTTTTTACTAATAATTAATAGCATGTAATTTTATTTGCACGAAAGACTGGTGCTGTGGTCATGACTAAAATTTTCGGTCATGACATCAAATTTTTGGTCATGACATTGCTTTATTATACATATAAAAATGTCAATGAATAATTCTAAAATAAAAACACCAAAACACCAATAAAAATAAAAATAAAAAACAATGTAACATCAAATAAATTAAACGGTTTAATTATGCATGATTTTTGTCTGTCAAGTCCAACTCTTTACGAAACACTAAAAAAAATCAATTGTTTTATGCTTTACTAAATAAAAAATCAATTATAATGTTGATAGTTTAAAATATTTAATGATATATGTTGTTGTTTTAGCAAAATTAATAAATGATAAAAAGTTTGAGTTGAAAATAGTAACTATTGTCATGACCACAACATATTAAGTTGCGGTAAATGACAGTTTTGGTCATGACATAAATTGAGTTATTACCTGATCAGCTCACCATACGTACTATATGGATGGTACAATGATGTACATAACATTGCAGAAACATTAAATAAAGCCGTTTGGAACAAGTTTACTATGTGAAATATTTGTATTATCGTGTTTTAGAACATTCGGTCATGATCAACCATAAAGGAACTAATAAAAAAAGATACTTACAACGGGATTTTTCTTCTAAACCTTTTGACCTACACTGTTCCTTTCCTGCCATCAAAACTTTTAGTAGTTTATAAGCCTTCTTTTATGGAGAGTAATAATTCAAAGGGCAGTAACTCTATTTTAAATAGCAGATTGCACAATCGTTTCGGTCATGACGAAATATTAAGTGACACAAAAATACACAACAAAATTTTAGTAGTATGATCAAAAAACCTACTGAATAAAAAAAGAAACATACTTAGGAGAAATGTATTAGAATAAATAAGACAAATAAAACTGAAAAACAAAAATTAGATGCGTGAAAAAACCCACAGAAAGTGGAAAGTCTATCATAGGGACACTGATATACGTCATTGATACATGACACAGTGACATTATTTTTCATTATTAAAATCAAACTTTAACATTTTTGCGCATCAATACAAAAAAGAATATCTTTTTATTTAATATTTAGAACAAAATCAGGGAAATTTTGTTATATTTAACAGGAATATTAGAGTGTTTTTCATGAGTGACACAATTTGTCTCAAATTTGTGGAATCACCCGAATACCAGCTTGCCGTCTGGGAATCATTTTCGTTGCAATGATCCATCATATTTGGCTCAAGGTTATTGGCTTCATTATTGACGGATAGTAACAATCTGTAATTGCCTACATAGTATAGTGGTAGACAATCAAATGATTAATTACGCATACAGTCTACAAATAAGTACACCTAAATGTTTTGATGGAAGCTGTCTGCTTAAGTCAATAGAAAAAAGTCTATCGGTGATGTCAGTAAGTTAAATGTATATAGTAATAGTCAACAGAAGCTGGATCAATAGTAAAAAGATGACACCAAATAATGTATAAAATCAATGACTGTTATACATGTACATGTATTTACGCTAAACTAATTTTCTTACACTGTAGAACACCTCAGTTGCCTCAATGTGGATAATATTCATATTGTGATGATATTTCTACCACTTGATTAGTCGCTGATACATTGTTTTAAATGTTGATAGTTTATCTTTATGTACTGCTACTCATCCATTATTTATATCTTGTGTGCTGATACATTGTCTTCAAAAACTTTATTACAGGTTGATACTTCGACATAACTTGCTGATGCTTCCCAATACGTAGATACATGCACCTTTCCCGTTTATGATACTTTCTTATTAAATGATGGATCTTTGATACTGTTTAACTGCTACTTTGATACGATATGCTGGTACTTAATTATAGAATGATTTTGTTCACGTTTATTTGTTATTTTCTGACAGAGTTTATTATACTTTGAAGAAATGTTTAAACTACAGTCTCCCAAAAGCAAGACAGTGGTTAGTTTCACAATTTGTATAAAATGTACTGTGTGTATTGGAGAAACTGAAGTCAAACATTCTCATGAACATTTGAAAGGAGACTTTTTAAGCTGCTTGTCCACGACTTTTGAGCAGTTGGTATTTAAATAGACCTAAAAAGTCGACGGTGTCGAATTCTGTGGTCCAAACTTAGCTGAACTCAGTATGATGAGCGGGATGCTTGAGAATTTTCACTCATATGGAGACGCCACCATTTGCCGGTGGAGAGCTACAAGTTTTGTCCCACGCTTGTCCTGGATTTTTGGAAGTCGTGAAACAAAATATAAATTTAAATAGAAAATCACAATGATCTACGTTATACAGAGCACCATTATATAGTTAAGTAATATTAAGCGTATATGCATAATGTCAAAGTATCAGCCAGTAATGACGACATATCATCCCAACAATAAGACCTAATCAACATACCGGTATTATAAAATATCAGCAGACAGAAACAAAATGTTAGCAAGTTATGTCAAAATATCTTCATAAAATGAAGCATAGTATAAAAACAAAACTTCAGCACGTCATGACAGTAAATCATCATATCACAATAAATTTTAGCATATATTGCCACTGCACCATCACTTTAGAAGTGTCCACGAATGAAAACAAGGTATCAGTAAACGATGAACAAGGATCATCATGTGATCATCATGTGACAACTAAGGCGTTCCATTGAACCACATCGTATATCAATGTTTTTGTCCTGTTAAAGTATTTTTATTGCTAGTTTTTATGGGATTTATAACTGTTATATTAACTTTCTTCGTTCATAGGAAGTTTAAAACTGTATAAAGATGTTATACAAGAATTGAATGTCAGTAAACTTAAATAAAGAATGCCTAAAGATTAAAAAAAAAAAGAAAAGAAAATTTTATTTGTGAGTTTTAAGTAAAATGTACAGAACTACAAGAGCGATAACTCTGATTCAGGTTTGCTTATGTTTTACAATGTTCATATATCGGTTTATGGTCAGAAGTTTCATTACAAACACTTCTCGTTCTCACATTTTTTTTTTTAAAAAGTCAATCTTTACAGGCAATTTTAAAAGAAATCAGATTATTATTTTAAAACTTTCGTAGTGAAACAGATGTATATATGAAAGAAATGCAAATCTTTTGATTTAATATGATACTGAATAGAACTTTAATCATCTTTCCTATTGTATTTAAAATCAGTTTGATTTCATTTTATTTATAAGGACAATACCCACCCCTAGCATACCACTTCCTTTATCCTTTTTACTGTCTTTCTCCTTTTCCCTGCCTCTCTCTAACATTAATGGTCCTGAAGAACTAGCTCCACCCTTTTCTCCGTGTGTAATGGTTTCTTTTCGATTGGTGACTTTGGAACCATCTGCTTTGATGATAGTTTCTTCCACTATAGTCTTAGTGATTTTGTTGGCCCCACTTCCAGTAGTTTCAGTAAAAGTTCTTGTAGATTTTGATTCCATTCTTCCACTTCTATATTTATCAAAAGTTGTTGCCTTTGAATTACACGCCAATGGACTCGATTCCCTTTTGAAGTTGGGTTCTGGAAAAAGAAAACTGGATGCTTAGTTTGGTTCTTTTTTCCATCTCAGAATTTCTTGGTCTCATATGTATATTTATTCATACAAAATAAGCCTCTAATTAATTATTTCACAGTTTGACCTTTTCTTCTGTATATTTTATACCATATATATACAACACTAATCAATTTCTACTATATACAGTGTACATTTTGTACTTAATCAATACAGCTATGCAATTTGCACTCATCAAAGCGTTTTGTCAAGATAATATTGTATGGCATATTGCAAAGAGCAAAATGCTGGCAATGCTTGGCAATATAAACCCCGTTTCGTTTTATGTGGTTGTAAAATGTTTAAAGTGCTAAGAAATTCGGAATCTTTCTCAATGTTTTAACATTCTCCCTTATGTTAAATACCACTAGTCCACTTTTCAAAGGACTCAATTATAAATTTAATAGCTTAATGTTCTTAAACTCGTTTCATGGTCCTTTCAAAGGGACATAACATGTTTTACGAAAGAATGTAAACTTTGTAGGTAGAATTTTTTTTTACTGGGATCTAGGGCTAGGACACGTAGTAAAGACACGACAGGAAAATCAATAGCCAATAAAAATGTTAACTGTTCACTAAGCTATTGACAAAGTATTATCACTGACGCCACCCTTAACTTGTTAACACTTACTATCTCAGTTATGTGAAGGTGAAAACTTTGTGTAGAAAGGGGTTGCAACATTAAAATGAATCGACGAAATAGATCGTATTCAAATTTTTCTAGCAAAATAAAAGATTTCTTTTGGGAAAATATGTTAGCAATTGTCTTAACTGTGTTTTGGGGAATTTTATTGAACGAAAAAAGATAACATGATTTGAAAAATGCAAATTTATGTGCAATTATATACAGTTTTATTTCTTGTTTGAAAATTTCTGCGACATGACAGCAATTTTATCAGCAATAGCATATCGTGACTTCAATAGAAACTTGTCTTTTTGTGGCGGTCTAAAGCAGTAGTTTTTGAAATACTAAAGTGTAATAAAGTTTATGTAACACAAAAAATATTATATAAAAAATGGAGCAAATGCCAATTTTTCTTTTTTATGGAAAATAAACGAAGTAAAAAGATCCTTTCATATGAAATGCAATACAATTAAAGTACGAAGAAGAAAATAAAAGCAAGCGTAATGAAATAAAATGATATATTAACCGTATATCCAAGTAGTATTTACAATTTTACTAAATATAGATTACTTACATTGTTTTATATTCTATTGTGTCCTTTGATGATATGACTTGTAGGAGACTAAGAATCAATATGACAGTTTAAATCGCCGGCGGATAGCCACCGCCCTTCTATCCCACGCAGATATTTATGATATCAGATATGGGTCAATAAAAGGAAAGCCCAAACTTTATAGACAGGTAGAATACAAAGTAGATTCTAGCTTTAAAAGCTCTCTAGAACAGGGCAGAACAAACATTTGGATTTATAGATTATTTTTCAGCATACCTTATAGATTAATAATAAACTTCCCCCAAAATATAAATGTGATCGATATAATTAAAGTATCAGTTTGTCCGTTTGTAAGGTCTCTTTACATTTCGAGAACTGGCAAGTTGACACATGGTTTAAATCAACATTTATAGCAAATATTTCTGATTTACTTTCCCAGTGACAATAAATAATTTTTTATTTTACACATTACGGTAATTTCATTTTTCATTGAGTAGATTTAATTTTTTTGATCTGCGAAATGGATTTTAAACCGTGAAATCATATGTACTCATAATAAAAAATGATGGTTCCCATCAATTTTTCTTGATGTGCATTAATGGATTTAAATGCTGTCAAATGTGGTATAAACATCCTCTAAACATAGACGGACCTCGATCATGTACAAACAAGGGAGTCAGCTTACTTCGGACACTAACACAGATAACGGCTAAAATTAATCCTTGATTTAGTATTTACTAACATTCTGATCAATCCGCCAAACCAATGTGTCCTCCAAAGAGAAAGAAAACAGACGATGTTTTACAAGTAAAGCATGATTTTAAAAAAAAACTAGCACTACCAACCTTTCTTTTTAATAAAAAAAAATGCATATATAGATACAACCTGGTTTGCATAAAAATGCAAAATCAAAATAAATGAAAAAAATATGTTCCTTACAAAGCCTTCGCCTATAGTTCACCAATTAATTAAAGTCTAAAAATATGCTTAAAAAGTGGATGAAAAAAATATTTGCCAGCATATCTAAATTCCATTTTGCATAAAAGAGGAAGAAGAAAGAGAGCGATAGATCGTTAAAAACATTGCCATTCAACTTTTCCTGGTAAAATACTGTGCAAATCTAACAATATAAAGCTTGGAAACACACAAATGATAAAACTTGTCACATTATTTCCGTTTAATATGCACACATCTGTTTACATTTGCGTTCAACTGTTCAAATTGCCGGGTAACCTAACAATCCAATATATATTTTATATTGCATATTCTACTACCTGTCAGTCCATATGGTCTTCTCTGAACACCTGTGACTGGGGCTGGGACGTTGTCTGTAAACCTTCCGACAACGTTACCAGCAGGTCTGTAGTTCGCGACGACAATAATTTTCCCATCTTTCGAACATGCTCTTCCGACTCCAATTTCCCTGCTTCCTCTCCAGATAACTTGTGTAAAATGTCCTTTAAATAGTGATAAAAAAAGTACATTGTACATTGTCTCTTAAAACTTATCATTGGGTTGTATTTTTGGCTGACTTGTTCATTCTAAATTTTAGATCTTTGTTTTTAATCTAAATACTATGAATTTATCCATTCAATTTATTGGGCTCACGGCGGGTGTGCCCCGTCAGCAGTGTCCTGTCAACAGTGATGCTTACTCCCCCTAAGCACCTCATTCCACCTCTGAAATTTTGAGAGGTTTGTATTGAAACGCCTTTCTCAGATTCTTTTGAGATCGATCACTGTTCAATACCCCCAACTTCTTCTTTTCATAATCATTGACATCAATAAATGGGTAGTACGTTCCAATATTTTTAAAACTTAACATAAAAAAGCTAGATTGTTAGTGATTCACAAACTATTTAATACACATGCATTTTAATGGTGGGGCGTATAGAACAAGGTATACATGTACCCGATGGCTACTGAAAGTAGGATAAAATAAAATCAATCCATAACAAAATTAGGCGCCACATTAGGAAAGTCAATATCCCCATCTGTTAAGGAACAAGGAAACCTAAAATAGATTGTGAATGTAGGGTCAATAGCGCCTTGTTTACATTGTAAGATATTGAAAGAGACTTTTGATTAGGACGAATGCAATGAATGAAGAGACATTCCTAAGATTTAAAAGGTATTCATGTTAATACAATTTAATGTAATTGATACATAAAATATGTTCAAATCAAATCAAATAAAGGATAAATATCACCTTCAAAGGACTCATATCCTGCGTGTGATGTCTTCAATCTTTTTTTTCAAATATTAAAGTTACTTAATTGTACAGTTTGAAAATTAAACTATTCAATGTACAAAATGTTTACTTCCTGAACATGAGGGATTTTTGAAAGTAAAGGAAGAAATGCATAAAAACTTTAAGGATATCCGATCCTCAGCCAGGAAGGATAACTCCAAAAATTTATAATGAATTTGAAATGCATCAAAATGGGGCTTGAGAGTCTTTTTTTTTTTTTTGCAACAATTTCCATTGTATTCATCTTCATAAGATTCAAGGTCTTTGGAAGTCTTAGAAAAGATCTTATAAAAATTGACATTTGTACCCTACCAAAGGAGAAAAAATTTATACAGTTTTAGAGAAATAAGATTTTCTTGAATCCAGCCTTAGATACCAATGCTTATTAGCATGATATGAATGAGAAGTAATGTGTGGTGTATTGCAATGATAGTAAAAGCCTTTTACACTATGTATTATAGAATATATAACGGGAAAAGAAGACAAAAAATACCAAATAAATATAAAATTCATGACAATTTCTCTGAATGCCTGGATACCTATTGTTTTTTAACCTAAAATATGTTTGTTGATCAATTTGCAATTAGAAAATGCATTGCTGATGTTCTAATTCGCTTTTTCTGCAAAAATATTGGACATTTGACAATTTTCCCTATATAATATGATTAACTTTAATCTTTTACTTTAAAGAAATACTGTGGATAAATTTACATAACTTTGTGAATTCAGAGATACTTTTATGAGTATTTTAGATTACTTAACTGCTAATTTTATAAACCTGAGGATCGGACTACCTTAAAACAAAAAGTTACTGTATTTCCCTTATAGAAACAAAACTTTGACAATCTCTTCAGAAATACCCTGTAATGCTTCCTGATAAGCGTCCTATGTTTAATTTGATGATTTTCGAAATACTGTAAGATTACATCTAATAAATTAAGTGGCGTTTCGTGAAAAAGATTAAGATAACGAACAGTGTTCTATCTAAAAAAAATTCAAAAATAATTCAAATCTGTAGGCAGGGCATAAAACACGGACTCCTGGAAACTTCAGAGGTGGGATCAGGTGCCTGTAGGAGGAGAAACTATCACTAGTTACACCCTATGTATCGAGCAAGTAAAATAAACATTTAGTATATGACTTTGTATAAAAACAAAGACCTAACGATTAGTATGAAACAAGTCAGTCAAAATGAGACCCAAAGCTCGTTTACATTTGCTAACAAGGTCATTATAATAATCATGGAATTTACGAACTGTTGACTTCAGACGATGTGAGTAGACTGCCTCGGTCTAAAAATGTTTGTTCTCAAAGCATGGTCTGTAGTTTCGAATAAAGTGTGAGATATAAATACAATATGTAGTGATGGCAGAATATTACATTATCAATAAAAAAAAATGATGATGGAATAGCTGCAGTCATCTCGATTGTCATACAATTTAGTTGTTAGTTAGCCCTTATCATTTTAGTCAGTAAAACATTTCAAGTTCGTTTTGATATTATTGTAGTCAATATATGAATGGAAGTTATTGTTATATTTATTCATGTTGATTGATAAAGCGACGCCAATATATCTAAATGTTCAAATGAAGGTCACAGCAACTTTTTTTCTTCTCGTGTGGAAGTATTCAAATAAATTTTGCTTCATTTAAAGGAATATAAAAACCGATATCAAAAGTTAATGCCTACAGGAATTCCAACAGTTTGTTGGAAGACTTGTTCTCCGAAGACTGTATAAATGTTGTCAATGAGGAACTCCAGCACCCTTTAAAGTTTTATAATTTTAGGTTATTTTTTAGTAAAAAGAGTAAGTTAATATTGTTTATCGCTTATTTATCTCGCCTATTTGCAAGTCCATGATTTTCAATTTCATGGTCATAATTTCGTACGTTGCTTTTTCAAATGTTACATGTATATATGTCCTGTAATTTTTGCAGATTTCTAGTATTTTCACATGTACTCCACATGCTAATTGTATTACCTGCTGAAAGGTTCCTGGGCTCAGTGCCGAAGTTAAAGAATTTTATTTCACTGTACCATTGGTCTGTTACCTCTTGACCTGCAATAGATTGATATTTTTAAGGTCTTCCGTCTTCACGGAAGACCTTATAGTTATTGCTCTGTTTCTTATTATTATTATTATTATTATTTTTCTGACACGATTTCTCGACAACTACTGGATAGAACTATATTAAATTTTCAGGAAAGATGTGTTGTAAGATACTCTTGAAAGTTCCAAGACAGTTTTTGGAAATTCCTCTCTGGTGCCAAGTTTTGGACCATTTTCCTGATTTTAAAACGACATTTTGTCCACGATTAAACTCAAAAACGGAAAAAGGTATCAATGTGAAACTTTCAGAGTTTATAGATGATGATCAATACTTTCCAGGACGCAACTTTTCGTTCGTCGTCAGTACTTCCTGTCGCTACCGGAAGCCAATTCAAAAAGTCCAAATTTTCAACTTTCTTTGTTTTTCAATATTTTTCATTTATTTTTGGAATATTAATAGAGACACTTCTATTTATGCTTACTATATAAGTTGTTTTAATATTGGTTAATCTGAACTCTAGATATTAATATTTGAAAATCTGAAGCGGGCCCAA